GTGCGGGTGGATGGAGGATCTCGGGCGTGGAATGGATCGAGGGGAAGGTGGAGGCTGGTTGGGGGGGAACTGGCAGGGGAGATCCCAAGGGGAATTTGGTGTAGTGGCGGCGGCGGCGATGGGTGGATGGGACATGAGGCCTAAAATTTAGGGTTAGGTCCTAAATTAGACTAGGGAGTCTATATATAGGGAAAGAGGGGAGTTTGGATCATCTGATTGAAATTCGACGGTCGAGAATAAATGGGTTAGGAAATCCAAATGATAAAACGGTGATGTTTTGTAGATGTTTGGGGATGATCCGGATCCAACGGTAACGACTGTCCGGGTCGGGTCCGGGGCAGATTTCGGACGCGCGCGGGAGGAGGTCCACGGACTGACGAGAGAGATTAGGTAGGGCCTGGCGGTAGGTAGTGGACTGTGCAGAAGGGCTCGAGCTGAGAGAAGAGAAGAGAGAGAGAGGCCGGCGACTGTTTCCGGAGACCGAAAACGTTGGGGCGTCAAACGAACTCCGATTGCGATGAAACTTGGCAGGCGGTCTACCTACACCAAAACTAGACCACACGCCAACTCTCAACCCAATCCGAGAACATTTTCCGGCCACTTATAAAATACTATCTCGGACATGTCGCGGACGCGTGCAAGTGTGGTTGGACTCAGAACGGACAACGGAGAGAACTCGGAGAACCCGGACGAATGCAAGTTTTGAAAAACATGAAGATGATAAGCAAATGATGACATGATGAAATGCAACACGCAAGCAAATGACATGGCAACGCAGCGACTAAACTAGAGGACACCTGGCACATCGGTCTTGGGACATTACAGAGCGTCTCCAATAGACGGTCCATATGTAAAAATAACTAACTTTTGGAGCTTCGAGAGCAAAAAGCGCTGCTCCAACAGACGGTCCATATGTAAAAAAAATTGGATCACCGCCTTCCGAAGATGTAAAATTGAAAACTTCGTGATGCAAATTTACATCACGAGATACAACTGATGTAAAACCGCGGTCACCCGCCAAATGACCAACCACCATATCATTCTCCTTCCGCCACGTGACTACCCGCCCGTGACCGCCCGCCGCAGCTCCCCGCTCGGCCGCCGGCCCGCCGTAGATCCAGCCCCCCGACACCGATTCCACCCCGCCTGGGCCACTGCCTGCCGTCGCGCCGCCCCATCGTGTCCGCCTCCACTCTGGCCGCCTCCACCCCGCCCCAACCCCGTCCGCCTTCTCTCCGACCGCCTCCGCCTCTGGTCAGTCATCCATCCGGCCCCGCTCCGTCGGCCTCTGCCCAGCCCCGCTCTGCCCGCCTCCTCTCCGGCCTCCTTCGCCTCTGGTTCGTCCGCCGCCCCATGTCGTCCACCTCCGCCCCGCGTCGCATGCCACCATCCCACTCCGTCCTCCTCCGCCCGCACCGCACGCCGTCGTCCCGCTCCGTCCGCCTCCGTCCCGCTCCACACGTCGCCGCCCCGCTCCCCGCTCGGCCACCGCCCGCTCATCGATGTCGCCAAAGAAGACGCCAAAGGGAAAGTCCAGTTTCTTCGGTGTAAGGATGAAGCTCTCCGGGAACTTCGGAGTGGAGTTCTCCTACGTCGGGTGGAGTTGGTGGCTCGGCACGTATCCCACCGCCAATGAGGCCGCGTGTGCCTACGACGTGGCGGTGTAGCGTGCCAGACGGCCGAAGACGGACTTCAACTTCCCGGAGGTCGAGTCCCAGCAGGTGGCGGAATGGCTCGTGCCGCAGGGCAACGGGATGGAGGAGATGCCGGCGAAGAAGGCGAAGAAGAGACCGGCAGTTGTCGTCGCTCCCGGCGAGAGCGACGAGGTGATGATGGATCGGTTTGCGTGAGAGCATCCGCAGTACGTCCAGGCCGAGATGGAGCACTAGTGGAAGCACGACGTCGAGGCGAAAAAGAAGGGGGTGAAGAAGGAGGACGAGGCTGGCCCCTCGACTGTGATCCCTATCGAGTCGTCGGATGAGGACTGGGGTCACTTCGAGGAGGAGGACGAGGGTGCGATGACCCGACCAAGGACGAGTTCTGGGAGCAATTCTGTAGCTCCAACGACGAGGAATAGTTTCATCTAGTAGTTAGAATAAGTAGTAGTTGAATTTGTGTATGAAACTATGTTGAATTTCATGTTTGAACTATGTTGAGATGAATTAGTAGTTGGTCATTTTAATCTTCGTTTTGGACCATCTATTAGAGTTGCTCTTTTATTTCCATCTCCATTTGGACCATCTGTTGGAGTTGAGCCTTTTTCGAAGATGTAAAAAGCACTTTTTGGTGCTCCAAATTTGAACCATCGCCGGTTTGGAGCACCGAAATATACATCATCTATTGGAGATGCTCTTAGTTGCACCCTAGGGCTTGGAGGGGCTGTTTCCCATGCCCCTCCACCTATATATAGAGGGGAGGGGTGCCCCAAGAGGACACACCAAGCCCTTGGCGCCTTTCTCTCTCTCTCCCGTTACTCCGTAGTTCCACCGCCTCGTCCTGGCGACGCTTAGCGAAGCGCTGTCAGTGGTCCACCACCACCATCACCACCACGCCGTCGTGTTGGTTGTGATCCCATCTACTTATCCTCTCCCGCTTGCTGGATCAAGAAGGAGGAGACGCCATCGAGCCGCACGTGTGCTAAACTCGGAGGTGTCGTCCGTTCGGCACTAGATTGGTTGGATCGTGATTGGATGCGAAGAGTACGACTACATCAACCACGTTGATAAACGCTTTCGCTTAGAGATCTACAAGGGTATGTAGATGCTCTCCCCCTCTCGTTGCTATGCATCTCCATGGATAGATCTTGCGCGTGCGTAGAATTTTTTTTATTTTCCATGCAACGTTCCCCAACACTAGCAGGCTCATCAGAGAGGTGAACATCCATCAACCTTCTCACCAGATGCAACCATGCTACCCATCGGTCTCCTACCAAAGATCTTCAGAATTGATTGTTTAAAGGGTTGGACTATAGTATTGTAGCAACATAAGAGTCCTTGCGTTGGACAAAATTATACAGAGACAGATATTGTGTGGCTAAAGGTGTCTCCCTAACTAGGTATCCTCACAGAATCTAGTTGAATTACCGTTTCCAATGATGAATTGAGTTCTATGGAAGAAAGCTGCTTTCGTTCTCATTAGCCCCTTCTAGAAAGGTGAGTCATTAGGTCTAATGGTAAACTAGGCCAAGGTCTTAGATTGCAAGTACTTATTACACAAAATTTGTACCCACGTACCTTCGGTCCTAACAAAGAGCCTGCACAGCCATTTACTGAGCAGACTTCTGTTCTTTACCTCTAAATTCTCAATTTCGAGACCACCCTAATCCTTCAGCCCACAAATAATACCCCATTTGGTAAGCATATACTTTCTCTTTATTTCGTCGCTATGTCAAAAGAATCGTGATCGATAGAAGTCCAACCTTTTCCGTACGACCATACCCCTACAGGCACTTCAAAGAAAGACAAAAGAAACATCAGCATACTCGTGAGTACTGAGTTTATCAGTATCAGCCGACCTTCGTATAACATAAGCTTACCCTTCCAGCAGCTTAGTTTTTTTTCAAATCGATCTTCAATACATTTCCGCGTATAACATAAGAAAATTTACTCCATCCGTTTCAAAATACTTGTCACAGTTTTAGTTCAAGGAGGAAATAGTAATTAAAAAGGTAAAAAAAATCTGAGCTTTTTTTAAATAAAGTTGACCTTCTATTGTACTTGTAAAAATATTTCTGCAGAGTGAAACCCCTTTTGACTACAGAAGGAAAAAATTAAGGCCAAATAGGTGTGAATAGTACCTTGTAGCAAAAAAAAGAATTCCTTGAAGTCAATCGGGATTTTCCTTCGCAAAAATTTAACTAGTGCAAAAGAAAGACAAGTTTATTCCAAAAAATGTTGCAGAATTTTTTGACTTTTCCGTTAATGTTTTTCCCATACGGTGTATACACTCGAGAATCAAAGGGCATTTCCCCAACAGCCACGGCGTAGAGAGAAAAAGCTAGAATCAGTTCTTTTATTTAATTTTTGAAACGAGGCAAAAGATTTGCCATTTCATTGATTAAGAAGAAGGTTTCAGACAAAGCCGCAAGCGGCAAAAGGTAAAAGATTACTCTCGCGGCATTACAATACCCAAGTGCTTGGCACCTGCCAAAGCCCAAAGCGACACCTCTTGCTTGATCTTGTTAATGATTACCACCGGAGGGACTGCAACGTTGCGAAAGACTCTCGCGTTGCGCTCGGACCAAATCTCCCATGAGATGAGCATCATCAATGAGGCAAGGGCTTTGGGCGAGCTGAGACGAATCTGAAGGTTATCGTTCCACCATCCTTTGACCGAAGCGCTCACCGACCAAGAAGAAGTAGAGATGTGGTGCATTCATGTGAGCCTTTTATTTGTAGGTAGGCTATCTATGTCAATTCGGAAAATTTGCTAGACATGATACAATAATTCAGTCTTGAAGTTTCTTCACCCGTGCTCTCTTCGTCCTTGTACTAACTTCATTGAATTAATAAAGTAATTTTTTTCTTTCAAAAAGATTAATAGTAAAGTGAGTTCATCGTTTAAAAGATTGAATTACATTGGGTAGGCCTTTTTTGAGCTACACAATCACTCACAAATGTGTGCAGCCACCACCACATATGTTGATCAATTGCTAAAGCGAAAGATGAATTTGTGATTTCAGCACCTCACTACTGGAAACAGGCGAAGCTCCGAGTGTAGCTAGGATAAAGGTCACCATCGATATACCAGGCCTTATCCACACATATCCAAGTGGAGCATCCCCATAGGCCGCTCCTACGGCAACAAATCTATTCCATCCACTGCAAGTGATCCACATCAGGAATGGCCCCACAACAATCTCCCCCTCTCGTTTGCTCTCGCCACCGCGCGTCTCCATCCGTGCCCGTAGCAGGCAGCACCCACCAGGAAATAAGAGCTAGCCGGCCGGTGCTCCACACGGAGACGTACGACCATTCGCATCGCAGCACACCAGCTTAGACATGGCCGCCGCCGCCTCCTCCACCGTCTCCGGCCTCGCCGGCGCCGCGCTCGCCCGCCGGCCAGCCTTCTCTACCAGTACGTGCCATAGTCGACCTCTTATTTGACATTTATGTTGTGTGTGTTGAAATGTTGGATCTGTGTACGTACGTGCGTAGGCTTCACGAGTGGCGGCCGGGTGTCGGCGAGGAACCCGCTGATGACAAGGAACCTGGAGAGGAACGGCAGGATCACCTGCATGACGTAAAAAGACGACTCTGTTTTACACATACATCGGCGTGTGAGTTGCCGTGTCACTGACGGATTGTTTGTTTCGCGTTGCTGGGCGATCAGGTTCCCGCGGGACTGGCTGCGGAGGGACCTGAACGTGATCGGGTTCGGGCTGATCGGGTGGCTGGCGCCGTCGAGCATCCCGCTGATCAACGGCAACAGCCTGACGGGGCTCTTCTTCTCCAGCATCGGCGAGGAGCTCGCCCACTTCCCCTCGCCCCCGGCTCTCCAGTCGCAGTTCTGGTCAGGATAAACCCAAACCACTCGTCATCACACACACGCACTAGTCACCAGCAGTATATATGCTTGTGTTTCAACTTGGGGTTTGATTCTGGTTAAATATAATTGACACTGCAGGCTGTGGTTGGTGACGTGGCACCTGGGTCTGTTCATCGCGCTCACCTTCGGCCAGATCGGGTTCAAGGGCAGGACCGAGGACTACTTCCAGAAGTAGTGAATTAACTAGCTTTGGTTCATGCATGTGCGTCGTCCTTAGGCTGCTCAAGGGCTGCTTCTGCGCATGCGTGTTCAATGTAAAATCTGTCATGCCTTTTGGTTTTGTGCATGCGTCTGGCTTCGCAAGCCGTGTGATTCCTGTTTGTTAATTACCTCTTCCATGCTAAGCACAAAACTGAGTTCAACAACAACAAAAAAAAATCAATTTGTCACCATGGCATGTACTTTTTGCGAAAAAACTTTCAATCTATTCATCAAACATCATGGCAATACAAAGGACACAAATAATACAAATTACATTCATGTCCATATGACGACTAAAAGCATGGAAGCAAGCCAAACATGCGGCGTCATCATCGCCTCTCTCTCATCGGAGTCGGGCAAACTTTATTGTAATAGACAATCACGAGGTCGTCGTGCTAAAATTCTAAAGGATCAGCGCACTTGAACAACAACCGCGACGATAAAGAGAAGCGTAGACTGGAAGGATCCAAACAGTTCCACCAAAGAAAAACATCAACCAAATCCTGCAAGATCATCAGGAGACACACCTCAACACGCCCTCCGACAACGCTAGACGCATCGTCAAGACGGAGGCTAAGCAGGGAGAACCTTATTCCTTCTTCAGAGAGCCGTCGCTACCTTACCTTCCCGAGTAGGACACGAACCCTAAAAAAGCTCAAAAAACACATAAAATGAAGCAGGAGTCCTCTCACCAAGAAAGGCCAGGATCCATCCCGCATCCATGGCCGTAAGGCCACTAGAGACGATGCAGGTCAGCGGCTGCGGTGGCGGGAGGAGGGGAACCCTCGTCCTAGGAGAAGTTGCTTGTGGAGGAAAGCGAGGTGCTCCATTGCATGTATGTTTGATTATGACGGCCAATTAGCCACAACTCTAAACTTTTTCTTTAAAAGACATTTTTCTTCATAGATTTAAAGATATTGATTCGGAACTGTAAAACAAACTTGACACATAACACAAAATATTTTCGTTTGACTATTTTTTGAATGATTGGAAGATTGCTCACCGTGCCTTTTTTGACGGAACACAACAATGTGATCAATTTTTCACTGATCCAGACAAAGGAAAAGAAATTCACCATGCTCCACCATTGAGACTCTTTCAACCCCAGCAAAAAAGAGAAGACTCTTGGAATAACTAATCGAATCTATGGTGTGTTGCTAGTTGCCCCTTGGGCATCTGTTTTTCTACACCATTAAGACCGTGTTGGACAAATCACTTCACGGAGGCAGATAGAGTCGAGACACCCATTTGAAAAATCAGGATTTGTCTCTTATGGGTCTTCAGAATGTTCGTGAGATGATCGCCATTCCCGCCTGGTATTTGTGGTGGGTAAGGCGTAAATTGGTTCATGAAGAGATAGTTCCAGATGCTTATCATATTACTATGTGGATTCATGCTCTAATGACAAACTATGTTTCGCTTCCTCTTCAAATGCTACCCTTAAAAGAGAGGGTTGGATCCGCCCCATGTGGGTTTGTTAAACTTAATGTCGATGTTTTTTTTATCAAGACTTGCTTAGGGGTACGGTTGGGCTGATCTCTAGGGATTGTAAGTGAAATATCATTGCTCAGGGGAACTAAAAAATCTACTGGTGTGCAGATGTCCTGGCGACTGAAGTTTTGGTGCTCAGATTCAATCTCTCCCTTGTGCAAAGGGTGGGATGCAACTGACCCATTATTAATTATGATAATCTGGAGGTCATTGACACTATAAAGAATGGAGGACATTTCGGCTATGGCGACAATAGTTTTCGACAATTGTTACCATTTTGCTTGTGATTTTCCTATCTCTATGTTAGAACATTATAATAGAGAAGAAAATAAAGTTGCTCGTGAGCTTGCTAAGCTAGCTAGATTTTTTTTGACTTTTTATTGGTTTGAGGAACCTCTGAATAAAGTTGTACCCTTCCATAAATGATGTAATTGTCATTTCATTTTAATAAGGTTTGTGCATTTGTTAAAAATGAGAGTTGAGAGACCCATTTCTCTTGCACCGCCACACAATCTTGATGACACTGCAGTTTGCAACTGGATACAAAAAGTAAAAAATTTGAACCATAACTAAACACCCAAAATGTACATCATGGTCTCCACCACCTATAGAGTCAGAATCAGTCGCTGGAAATGTAAGAAATAAATGAAATATGCCGACATATCACTTGCATACATGAAACCAGGAAAATCACCTACCGGACCCAGAATTCCAATTAAGAAGTTTAAGTGGCTAACATTAGAACTTTGAAGGCCACGACTCTTGGTTTTTTTGGTAATGCTTAACTTTGGCTTTTAACACATAAATATGTTTTTTGGGTCTAGTATCCAAAATCACAAAGCCAAAGTAAATGCCTAATCAAACACCCCTACAACCGATACAAGAAAGGACAATAGGTCAATCATTAATCCATGAACAATGCATGACGAGTCTTTCAAATTGCTAGTGAGTCCATTTAAAATGGTTAAATCGATTCCCTAAACTTGGCAGTGCAGTTTACTTAACCGCAAGCCGCTACATGGATCAAACCCTAATATGATGGCATGTGACCTGGACCACACACAATGGCCCTCATCCTTCAAATGCACTTACTGGAAAAGGTTCCCAAGAGATTAACATTAGCTATCCTGAGAGCAATATGTGGGCATTTTGATGGGTGGACATGAACCACTTAGTGCGCAACTGATTGGTTAAAGAGCAGACGACGTTTGTGGAAGAAGGTGTTGTTCGAGGTATGGCTCAACATCTCTAGCATGTTTTGTAGTGTCACTTCTCTATGATATAGACTGCCATTCTGAACCCTGGTGGGAAATTTCCGTCAGTTTGGGCACACTTGGATGGATTAGCCATTGTGATGTACATGCTACCCAAGATGACAACCAAATGAAGAAGCTCTCATAGTCTGATGCATGTTTACAACGGCAAAGCTTGAGCAACATTTAAGAGGTGACCATGACTTGAAGGGGGGCAAATTAGTAGGGACGGAGGGGCTAATCTCTAGTTGAGACACTAGTTACGCCTAAAATCTTGCATGCTCTTCAATAAATGCACAAATTAGGGGTGGGCATGGCCCCTATTGGTCTATGCTAAGCTTCGCCACTGCATGTGTATATTCACCCAAATTAACATTAAAGGCATTGTTTGTGAGCAATTGATAAAACATATCAAATTATACATTGGCCAAAACATGATATAGTGATGCGCTAGTTTAAACCATGCGTGGTTGGTGGATGGCATCACCTCGCCACAAACACACATGCCTTACCATTGAAAAGTGTATGCATATACCACACACCCTTGATTAATTTTTTTTTGAGGTAACACCCTTGATTAATTGAAGGATTAAAGCGAGGCGAGAAGACACCCGTCTTAATTGCACACAATTAGGCCATGGCCCACTTCGCTCAATCGTGGTGGAGTTTTTTTTAATCTTTTCTGCATAAAACCGTGGTTGGCTTGTTTTTGTGAGGGTTGAGGTCTTTTACGGGAAACCAACCCTTCGTATAATTAGGGAAGGGCTGCCAACGTCTATCTCGCGGGCATACATACGAGACATGCCTCCCTTTTGGGAGAGGAATGGCACTTCTAGCTAATCGATAATCTTCCTAGTTAGCTTGTCTCCTCTTAGGAATGCTATATCTCGCCTATCCTGAGATAAAGCATCACTCCGCCTATATTTGTTCTGGAAGTGGGCCAGCACAATACCACTTGATGGATGGAATGGTCTTAGAGTAAACTCAGTTGTTCTTGTTTGATTCTTTATTTGGTGTTTGGTAGCCAAGTTTTTTTTTGTCTGGTTTTGTATCTTCTATTTTTCCTCTTCAATCTACATTATTTTTTTTGTCCATTTTCATGTTTCTTTATTTTCCCTTTCCCTATCTTTTGTTGCCTTTTTTTGTTCTTTTGTTTCTTTTTTGTGTGTTTTCATTTCTTTCATATTCAAAAGATATAAACATTTTTTCACAAATACATGATCATTTTTAACTGATACATGCACATTTATTTCATGTGACCTTTTTATCCCGTTTATTTCTTTCTTTTATTTTTTTCTTTTTAAATTTTCTATTGTTGTTTTCTTTTTTCTTCTTCTTGTTTATTTTTTTAATCCTCTTGTGTTTCTAAAAAGTACAGTGTATTAGAAAATGCTTGCCATGTATTTAGAAAACATCCATCATGTGTTTCAAAAATGTTTATCGTATATTAACAAATGGTACGCGTGTAGTGAAGAAAAGTTCAACATGTATTATAATATGTTCTGTGTGTATTAAAAAATGTTCATAATTTATTCCAAAATGTTATCATGCATTAATAAATTTTTATTTTGTATTAAATATATTCATTGGTAATAAAAAGTGCTCATTATGTATTAAAAATGTGCATAGTGTATTTTAAAAAAATTAACATGCACTTCAAAAATATTCATCGTGTATTAAAAAAAATATTACTAAAATCTTCATAGCGTATTAAAAAATGTTAGGTTGTACTTAAAAATGTGCATCCTATATATGAAAAATATTTATCATTTATTTTGGAAATATATATTATTTTTAAAAATGTATGATTTTTCCAAATTACGTGTCAGTTTTATAAGTATAATGAACACTTTTTAAATTGGATAAATATTTTAAAAGAAATATTACCACCAATTTTTGCCCTAGACTTATAAAGCTAGTAATTAATTTTTTAAACCATTTTTTGCCTTTTTCGAAGCATGTATTGTTGATCAAACTACTATGTGCATTGAAGCAAAGTGGACCATGGAAACAACTTTTTTAGTAGAACATGGCCTTTTATTCATTTAAGATGCTCCATGGGATACAAGTAATATCAGGAGTAGTACCTAGCCAAACATGTCGGCCAACACCTAAGGAAGCAGCCGCCTTTACTAATTTATGAGCTTCATTATTGGCTTGTCTTCCCTCATTAACAAAAGACACCTCCTTAAAAGCTTTTTCGATAAAAGGATGGATTTTGTTGACTCAA